AGCTCTATCGTGGATCGGACGGGGCATGATCCTGTACACCTCAAGGCTGGGCCTCACATGTGCCGGTCGCCTGGGAGGTGAGCACAGTGTAGACAGGGGATGAGCAACATAGCAGTGGGGAGGCATGCCGGACGAAAGCGATCTCAATCACACGCCCAGGTCACGCGGGCAGGTACCTCCCTACAGTGTGATTCGCGAGGCAGATGACGTCCATGACCTCCCCCAGGAGAATCTGGAAAACAAATTCTACAAGACCCACAGTACGCCTCAAAACTGCCAAGGCAATCAAGCTCATCAAAACCAAAACATCTGGAAACTGACAGCCAACGGCACGTAAAGAGGCGAGGGGACTGTGCATAGGGCGGTGTCCTGTGTGCGCCGCAATGGCAAGAACATGAAATACAAATGGAAAAAACAATGAGGAAAGATGATGGGAGATGTCAGTCTGTAAATATGTTTCTCTTATTGGTTAACAAATAAAGCACTGTTGGCCAATAGGAAGGCAAGATAGGCTGGACTAGGAGAGTAGGAGAATTCCGGAAGTCGTAGGGAGAACAGATGCTGGCCCTACTCTCTGGTAGGATGAGACCACGTGAAAATACTTAGATTAATAGAAAACACTTAGATTAATAATGGGTTAATACTTAAGACAGAGCTAGCAGATAAGAAACTAGTAACTGGCCAACAGAATTATATCTAATACAGCGTGTCCGTGTGTTAATTGGGACTGGCGCCTCGGTGGGTCCAGGCGGGCAGGGAAAACCTTACTCCTAACAAAGAATAGGATGTAATTGGTTTTAAAAATTGGTTTGGGTTTGTTAATTAGAGCAAATAGATTTTGCCAGTGTAAGGTGTTAACACCACAGGCTACTGGATGTGGAACACGGTAACTCTCTGTTCACAGATTTTTTTTTTTTTTTTTTGAATTGCAAAACTACTTTGAGGAAGTTAATTTATTTAAAACAGCAGTGCTGTGGCATATCAGTTATGTGCTACATTCTTTTATGCTGTGAAATACTTGTTTAATGATGAAAAGATGTGTTGCATTCTTTTATGTTGCCATTTGTTTGACTGTGAAGCTGTGTGTGCCCAAAATGCCTAATTAGTCTGATAAAGAGCTGGACAGCCAATAGCTAGACAGGACAAAGTATAAGTCAGGCTGGTGGGCAGGGCGAATAAATAGGAGGAAAGACAGACGGAGGGTGCAGAGGGGGGAGGAAAGGATGGTGCCAGGGACCCCACACACAGCTACACAGCCAACCAGAGAGCAAGAAGGAAAGAGAGGTACACAGACAGCAATTTAAGTTGTGAGACGCTGGCTAGAAACAAGCCAAGCTAAGGACAGGCGCGCATAAGTAAGAATCAGTCTCCGTGTATGCATTTGGGAGCTGGGTGGCAGACCCCCAAAGAGCAAACACTGAGAGAGTAAAAAACAAAAACATAAAAACCCCACACAGCAGTGTGATCTCAGCTGGAGGCAAGAGGATATAAACTTCAAGAGAGCAGCCACTGCCTTTGAGCCTGGTCCAGGATAAGCAGCACATACCGGCCTCTGTCAGGAATGCAAACATGACCCAGTGACAGCCCCAAAGGAGGAGGCCAGATGGCTCCCAGAGAATGGCTGGATTATGGAGGACTATTTGACATGTCCTACTCCACACTATCCCAAACTGATCTCTGGTATCGTCCAGTCCCTTCCCTACCCCACCCCACCACCACCACCCTTGGTTCTCAAGTGCATGTGCTCTGTGCTTTAAAACTCTCTGAATCCTCTTCATGGGAATAGAGCCATCTACTGGACCATGAGAAGCCTCTCATGTTTTGCATCCCTGAAGGAAACTGACTCGCCCAGCAAATCGATTGCTAATAGCTCTCTCCAGCTGTTCTGACTGGGTTTGTCACTTGAGGATCCCTCAGGACTAAAATACCTAGCACCTCTCAGCAGCTCCCTTACGACCACACCCCCCCCTCATACTCGCCTTTGAACTTGGAGCCTTCCTAATCACGTGTCTTTCAAACATCACCCTAGAAGATCTAGTAATGGGTACATTTTAAGGCAAACGTAAGCCTTTGCATGCGTTTCTTATTGAGGAGTGGAGCTGTCTTCGTTTCAGATGGGGCCTTAACAGCGGCTCCGAAAAGCAAGTCTTTGTTCCTATTTTGAATTGAATGGGGCAGGGGTGGGGGACAGGAGGGGTGGCGAATGTCTGTCTACAAAAATACACAACTTCCTAAAGTCCATTATTATATCCTCTCAGGCTTTCAAAGCCCTTCCCACATCCATTCTTCTGGAAACAGGAAGTCAACAGTCACTTCTACAAGACCTAGACTCCTTCATACGTGGAGTCTTGAGTGCTTAAAGCCTAACTGTAATTTCTGGGAAGATTTTGAAGAGCACTGAATCTGAAGTCCAGGTGGCGTCCGTTCGCATCTCACCTGCTGCTGGACTAGATATATCCTCCGATGAATCCTTCAAGTCTGGGTTTGCTCAGGCGCTAGAACTCTGAACATTGCTGTTGCTTGTGTCTAAGTGTACCCGAGGCTTTGCCAACGGTGAAGAGCTATAGGTGGACACAATCTTGAACATCTCCAGCCTTCACTAAATCCCCTTTCTGCTCACTTCCATCTGACGGCTCAGCTGGTAAAGGCACCTACTACCAATGCCTGAGGATATGAATTTGGTACCCAGGAACCAAAAGGTGGAAGGAAAGATCAGAGCGAGTTGTCCTCTACATCACAGCGAGCCATTCATGCTCCACCTGCCCTGACGCCAACAATAAAAATAAATAAATAGCAGCATGTGGTAGCACACACCTTTAATATCAGCACTCTAGAGTCACAGGCAGACAGATCTCTGAGTGTGAGGTCTGCAGAGTGAGTTCCCGGACAGCCAGGGCTACACAGAGAAACCCTGTGTCAAGACAGTAAAATTAAATAAATAATGCGACAATGATGACTGTATTTCTTGTTAGGAAAAATGTCAGCACAGGCAAGAATGAAGGATATGACTAACAACTTCAGAAGAGTCGGGTCAGGACTACCATCCTGAATTACTGCACACAACCCATCTAAGAACCAGACCGACCTGGATGGAAGCCTGTGGGTTGGATTAAAATTGACAGCCGCGTTAAAGCAGCGAAGTAACAGGGAATGACAAAAGGAGAATTCAAATGAGAGATTTTAAGAACTGGCAATCAATACACTGGACGTGTTGAGAGACAATTGTCTCTAAATTAAGTTCGCCAACATTCCCCAATTCAAGTGCGGAGGAAGTTTACTTGCTGTAACAGCTATGTATGTGTGTGTGTGGTGTGTGTGTGTGTGTGTGTGTGAGTAAGTATGTGTGTGAGTGTGTGAGTGTGAATGTGTATGTCTGTGTGTTTGAGTGTGTGTGAGTGTGTGTGTGTGCTGCGTGCATGCATGAGTGTGTGTGAGTGTGCGTGTGTGAGTGTGTGTGTGAGTGTGTGAGTGTGTGTGTGCTGCCATTTCCTCCGTGAAGTCAACAGGATCAGACTAAGATTCTGTCATCAATTATTGTTGGAATGTGGCTGAAAAGGGAAAGAATTTGGAATCAGTTAGGTTCCCCTGGTTATTGGCTTCTCCCTTGTCCCTAGTACATTCTGATCCACCTAACTGGCAGTTTTCCAAGGACACGTGGCACTGTTGAAGAGAGGGGTTCAAATGGCGCGAACACAGTGACAGTGGAGTGAGCCTCGCGGGTCCCAGCTGAAGTCACTAAGGTGGACTGGAAGGTCTTTGCCGGGTGTGGCCTGGGAGGTCAGGCACCCCAGTCCCTGCTGCGTCCTGGTGGCCCAGGGGCCTCTGCCTCTTGGTGCCTGTGGGCAGGGAGCCCGGGGCGCACTGGGGACCTGCCGCCCAGGGCTGGGGAGTTCCCGCGGTCGAGAAACCGATGGCAGAGTCTGGTCGCGTCTCCATGGCAACCGGGTGGGACCAGGGGCCAAAGACTCAGGGCGGGTGCAGCGGGCTGGACCCGCCCCAGGACAGCTCAGACCTCTCCGGAGGGCAGGCAGGTAACAGGGGGCCCTGTGGACGGGGACCCGGGACCATGACCTCCCCTCGGGGCAGCTGGCGAGGGGATGGCAGGGACCACTGCAGGGCGAACTCGGGACAAGCTTCCATCAGAACCTTGGCCCTTTCATTTGTGCACTTCCGATCTAGTTTCTCCTTCTACGGCCCAACAGCTGCAATTGCTGGAGAGTCTTTCCTTCCCTCCCTCCTTCCTTTCCCCTCCCCCTCTTTTTCCTTCCCTTTTCCTTCTCCTCTCTTCTCCCCTCCTTTTCCTCTTCCTCCCTCCCCTTTCTCTCCCTCTTTCTCCCTTCTCTGCTATTTAATTGGTTCATACAGTTCTTAAGAAGGTTTAAATTCATTTTAATACTTTGTTCATTTACCGTATAGGTAAGTCCACAGCTGAACATGTGTGTGTCTGTCTGTCTGTCTGTCTGTCTGTCTGTCTGTCTGTGGGCATATAGGTGCAGGTGCTCTCACAGGGCAGAAGAGGGCATCAGATTGCTAGAGAGCTAGAGAGCTATAGGTGGTTTTGAACCACCTGACTGAACATCACTGGGGTCCCTATGCATTTCAACTGCTGGGCCATCTCTCCAGCCCTGTTCTAAGACTTTCTGTCCCCAATGTCCTGCGTCCTTCACTCTTTTAAAAGGTCGAGAAAAGCCGATGAAAGAATACATACACTCAAAGGCAAAGCACAGGCGCTCCATTAAGATGGGATCCTGAGGGCTTCCAGACAGCTCTCCTCTAGGCAGGAATTATGAACTGAGCACTCCACAAGGCAACTGACACCAAGTTGATGATGAATGCACGCTGTTTCAGCCACTATCATACATTTCAACCAAGGACTGAGCCAGTATTTCTATCTGTGTGGGGACCCCGAGCCCATGAAGCCACACCCATACTAATGACTTACCAACAGCAAGAAAATCATCTTATATGTAAGCATTTTACAAATCTGAATAATTTCCTCTCACAGACGAAAACTCAAGAACAAGCCAGATGTAGACCTTTCTTGGCATGGAGAGTCAAGCCCATGCTACAGCAGGGTGAGTAATACAGAAACTTCTGTTTACTGAGTTGATCTTTACGCCCAAGACTGCTTGGTGGAGCACAAGTTTTGACATGAATTTTTACAAGAAGCATGTGCAGATGCTTTGGGTAAGCGGACCGGGGAAAATTACAAATAACCTCTGAAGGCTCTATCTGGTGAGTCTCCCTGATGCGGAGAGTCTGGCTCTACCTGGAAGACATCTCTTTCAGTGATACTGTTGGAATCACAGGTACAGACCCAGGCTGGCCTCAGCTCCGGCCACAGCACAACACTGCCTGGCCAGCTCGCTCCTTTCTTGCTGTAGTGAGTGTTTCTCTGCTCCTGTTGTTAAGACCACGTTTTCTCAACATCAAACACAGCCAGACAGAACAGCAAACATGGGGTGTTTTAGGTAAGGGATGGAGTTAGAAAACATTCGCTGTGGTAGAAAATGAACGAAATTCCTTTTCACATCTGTCTGCCCTGCCTCTTACTGGCATCAGCACCATGAAGGTTTCTCGAGCCACCTGGCCAGTGGCTGGACTCAAATCAGAGACAGCAGTGGTTCTTCAGAGCCCCGTCTTGATTGTGACTGCTTTTGGCTCTGGTCACAGCTGTAGGTGTCAATCACTTCCAGTGATCTGCTCAGGCCATCACTCTGACACCTGGTAAAGGAAAGGAAAGAGGTGTAAACTGTGACGACTTACATTCTTAGCCCTGCCCCCTTATGAACGCTCATCTCTATGCCAGACAGAGTGGTTTCATCTCTAGACCCAAAGTGTTGGCTTCTACTCCAGCCTTTGTGACTGTTTGCCTTCCATCGTGGCAATGCTCTTAAGGAAGGGGTAAGGAAGGAAGGGCAGGAAAGACTTTCCTTCTAGGAGAAGGCCTAGAGATGTCAGGCCTTGACTGTGTTCCCTGACATTGACCAGAGCTCAGAAATGTGGTCTCTACCTGGTCAGCGTATGTCCAGCTACAGTTTAGAAATCCCACACTAACTGGTGCTGGAGTTAGGATCACTGGGCTTCTAACCGTTTGCATGCCTGTGTGAAGCTGTAGACAGTTGGTAAGAACCATCCCCCGAATTCTTTCTACACTGGAAATGAATTGCATTGAGGTATGAGGGGCAGGCAGCCTAGAGTGCACGTCATGGTCAGATCAGAACGAGCTCACATGGGGTCCCCAATGTGACTGACACTAGAGTACAGCAAGACAGACTACGGGCTCAAGCAGGGTGGCAGATGGTCTCAGCCCTGCAAGTCTGAAGGCCTGGCTGGTTCTCTGCATTCATTCTTTGAGAACAAAGTAAGCTGTACTGAGCCCTGAAATGCAGAGGTTATTTAAAAGCAGGCCTGGTCCTCAAAGAACTTCGACTTTATTGGAGAGAGTTAGACTTGTGTACAGATAGTCACAGGGCAGAAGTTAATGAGCACACCACATCGTGGTAGGCACGTGGCCAGACACTGTGTATCATGGTCTCCAGAGCACAGAGGCCACCAACTCTCGTGCTGTTAAGGAGCCAGTGAGTGTGGATCCTTCTCCGGGGACTTGTTGGCAAGTTCGCAAACATGTTCCTCTGCTGTCTGCTTTTGACAAGTATTTAGCACCTACTGTGAGCTTGTGTAGATCTAAAACGTGCAAATATGCATCAAACACTGGTAAGAAAGGGAAGGTGTGTGTGTAATATGAAAATTCATTTGGCTCTGTGCTTTACCAAAACCAAACCAAAACAAAATCTAGTTGTGTTGGTACTCACCCTATTAAGTGTAGCTTTTTTCATGGACCTAATCCCACCGCCGCGCCAGCCCCAAATAACACACAGAGACGATGTATCAGATATAACGCTGTTAGTCAGTCACTGGTTTCTTATCAGCTAGCTCTGTCTTAATTATTAACCCATTTCTATTAATCTAAGTATTTCCACGTGGTCTCATCTTACCAGAGAGAGAGCCCAGCATTCTAATCTCTCCGTCCTCCATCTTGAATCTCCTCCCTACTACTTCCTCTCTCCTCCTTGTCTCCTGGTCCCGCCTATCTTGCTTTCCTATTGGCCAACAGTGCTTTATTCATTAACCAATAAGAGAAACATTTACAGAATGACATCTCCCATCATCCACCTAGTTTTCTACTCCAGAAGGCAACCACTTCCAATCCTTCGGCAGGGCCTTTCTCTCAAGGCCTTGGGTATAACTCAGTATCTCAGTATCTTCAAATAATGTGTTTTATTTGTTTTTTGTTTTGTTTTTATATTTTTTTTTTAGTTTTAGGCATTATCTATTGACTTTTACACTGGACATCTCTCTGTCTCTCTGTCTCTGTGTGTGTGTCTCTCTGTTCTCTCTCTCTCTCTCTCTCTCTCTCACACACACACACACACACACACACACACACACACACTTTTACTCCCCTATCCCCCAATAAGCCATAATTTTGGTAGCATCAATAGTCTCCATATGTCTTCATAACAGTCTTCTTATGGCGTTATAAGTCACATCCATCTTGGGGTCTGACTGGGATAATTTTTCCTTACTGCTTGTTGGAGCCTGCTCCAACCAGTCAGCTGGATTACCTGAGTAGGGGCGTTAGCACCGAGCAAAGGCAGATAAAAGAAACAGAGGCAGAAACACAGGATAGATCCAGGAAAAATGCCCAGTCCACGCCTTTCAGCACACCAGACAACCCTGAGTTTAATTTAGACCTTGCTTATACACAGACTAGAGGCAAAGCAGAACAGAGAGCAGCAGTCAGTTAACCAGCTCGCTGCACTGCAGCAGTCAGTTAACCAGCTCGCTGCACTGCAGCAGTCAGTTAACCAGCTCGCTGCACTGTCCTTGAACCGAGGAGCAGCCAGGTTCACTCTCCACCACATGAATCCTGCTGGCAGCAAGCAGCTGCATTCCCTATCTCCACAGCTGGCATTGGTAGCTCCTTCGAGAGATAATATGCCCTATCCCATGGGCTTAATCAGAACTTTCTCACGGCTCTCAAGGAGACCTAAATAATCAACTCTAACGTCTTATAAGTCAGAATAGACTCCTGATGGAAACCGAGTCACTTGGGGGCTCCCACGCCTGCTCAGTTTTTACTTCCTGGGGTCAGCAATCCTGACATCACAAACTTCTGACGTCTTCTTCTTTCTCTACAATTTCCTTCTTTAAAAGGGGGCAGGAGTGGGATTTCATCTGTAGCATAAAGAAGTAAAGTTTGTTTTAAAACTATCTTCAAAAAAAAAGTCTGTCTCTTTGAACCTGTCCATCTTCTCTGTCCTGTGAGCTTCTTTCCTTGGGTCCTGAGCTCACTTCTTATTCAGTGCAGGAGCTCCCGGACACATGGTGCCGTCAGCACTTAGGGTGGGCCTTCCCTCTACAAAGCCCTCACCCAGAAGCTTGTCTCCCAGGTGGGTCTAGCTTAGCTCCTGTCAAGTTCAAAAATCACTGTTAACTACCACAAGCTGCTACTTGACTCCCACAATTTTTGCTTTTGTAGGCTTACCTGTACAGGTTAAAAATATGTTTGCTTCGTTTTAGTAGGCCTTGGGAAAGAAGCCAGTTTTGCGGGTTCATCCATCTTTCGGCAAAGCCTCGCTTTCATCTGCTGAGTCTCTTACGTTCTCTGCATGTTTGACTAACTCCTGAGCAATGGGTCTCTTCCATAGACTCAAGGGTTCTAAAACTCAGGATGCCACTGCATACACCAGTGGACTCTTCTTGTCTTCCAGAGGACTGAGACAGACTCTTTTTAAGAAGTTTCCCACCTGAATTCCATAACACTACTTCCTCCGTGCCCGCCTCCTTAACCCTCAATGGCCCTTCCCCCCCCCCCCCAAGACATGGAACCACAGCATAGACTGCTCATTTTGCGATGGCTTAAGTACAGTTTTATTTTTAGTTGGTGGAAAGAAACTCTGATTTTTTCTGACCTAAGCCCCTAACAGCAGGACCGTAATGAACAGTAACTGCTTTCTTTCTGTATATGGAAAATTCTTCTTGATTGACTCTGGTGACTTGTTGTGACTTCTGCCTAGCCCAGACACACTTTCCTGTTCTCCCCACATTGCTCTGTACCATCCCCCATGCCTGATCCTCACCAGAATAGGCACACTTAACCGGTTGTCTTGATGCAGAAATAAGGAGAAAGAGATGGGGGTGGGTCATCCTGGTGTGTCATGGAGGAAGAGTTAGCTTGGGGCTGATTAGGGACAGGATTGGTGACTATGAAAGAGGTAAAACTCAGGAGGGAGGAAAGATAGGGAGATTCCTTGGAAAGACAGATTGAGTTACCAACAATGTTAGAGAAAGATTAAGAAGCATCACTACACAAAACGCATGTGCCTGCACTTTTTATAGGACGCTGTTGGGTATATTAGCCACTGGTTACATTGAAGGGGAAAGGGACCGGGGGTGTGCAGACCTAACGGTGCACACTGGCACCAGGTATACCTAGCCAGAACCGCCGAGAGCTTCAAGTCAGTGTTGCTGGCACAGGAGGGTTAGCCCTCCATGTAAACAGTTCCCAGAGATCTCACCCCTGAAGAGAGGAGTGATCTCATTGGATAGTGACTAATGACAAAGCCATGACCTCCATCCACTAACGTCAAGAAACAGAAAGAAACAGGAATGCTAGAAACGGAACCAGAATGAAGCTAGGGCAGCGGTGGCCAGCGACCCACAGGGACTGAACGTAATCCAGCAGCATCTTCTGTCCTTACACCTCCGTGACTGGAAGAGCAGTTCACAGTTGGGAGTGATGTCAAAGACAGGAAAAGCGGCATAAATGCCATCCATATTCAGGGGACCAAGTGGAGTTCAAAATGGGGTAGAAGCCAAACTCTGAAAAGCACTGGCGTCCAGGGCAATCAGGGGTGGTGTATGGGACCCACAGCCATATGGCAGTAGTTCCTGAGCAGCGTTTGCTCAGGGGTCCTCTGAGGGCCACACCAGATTCACACCATTTTCACCTTCTCACCCTGAATAAACTAGGCTACGCCTTAAAGTTGACAGGGATTTTTGCTGCTGT